AGTAGCAGCAAAAAGAAAGTTGCATTGCAATTGAGCTGCTGTGTATCAGGAACAATCCCTGTGCAATAAAGACTCTAACTGTACCTGTAAACTATTTAAATAAATACAATGATTCAAACTCATCTACACATGCTGTTCATATTGTATATTAGTGTATATATATACTGTCATATCCATCTACCTCATTTACATAAAAATACCTGCACATAAATATTTATTCCAGCATCCTTTGCACTCTTCACTATTCTTTACTATCTACAAATGTTACTGTTTATGTTTATATATGTATATCTGTACATAGCAGCTTATGTCCATTTTGTTGTCCTGTTTATTTATGTTTATTTATGTATGTGCATTGAGAGTAATGTAAGATTCCTTGTGTGTGTGTGTGCATCAATAAAAGTGATTCTGTTCTCCACTTCCTGTTTGGGTGGGGTTGATAGAGGAAGCAGAGGAGAGCAAAGAGGAGACAGACACAGACAGACACTTCTCAGGGATGGAAACACTGCCCTCTGTTGTTGTGTTGGGTCACATTAGGGTGGAAACTACCGGGGAGGCAGGGGGAGCAGCTCCTCTGGTTGTTGTGCAATACTCTGATAGTAATACTGCAGCATTTAAAGGATCTGAACATTAACATTATTAGTACTCACCTTTATTATTCATTCCACTTCTGTTGGTCACATACTGTAGCACACATTTACTGCCATCTCTATATATTGTTAGATTTTGTTTTAAAATGTTCATACTTAGATTTTTTGAGCAATAAAGTATTTCTGATTCTGATTAATAAGACATGAGCTGGGTTAGACAGTAAATTATTACTAATAATAATATTAGTTATAATACTCTGGATAAAATAACTAAGTTAAAGTAAATCATCCTCCAGTCAGGATTATGTTTCAGTTTATTTAACATCATAAGTATAAATCAAAGTATTTCTGAATGATCCCCCAAATAATCATTTTGATAATCAATTAATTATAGTTTGTTTTTTATCATACGTCAGCTGTAAAGTAATAATTTGCTTTAGTGGAAGAAAACTCAAATTAAACTGAAAACATTTGTACAAAGATGCATTTAAGTGACTTTATTCAGATAAATTCTGTTCACATATTTTTAATAAGTCTGAAGAAATGCTGCATGTGAGTAACTTTAATTAACTGAATGAAATTAATTTACCCAAATTACCTTAACAATAAATACTTGAGTGACTTCTACTTAAATCAAATATCGGTTTCCTCAAACAGTTTCTGTTGAACTAACTCATCAGGTTTTACAGTGTATTACTTTATCCGGTAACTAGTAGTGTAACTAATTGCTAATACATTTCAGTAATAATATTACTGCAACCCCCCCAAAGAAGTAATTAGTTACAACATTCCTTTTGTTGTCGCCCCGTACTACTTTATTAAACAATCACACTCTAACAACATTAATTAATTTCTTTAAACACGTCAGCAGCGTCGAAGACGATTCACTTTTTTATTGGATTTAATGTGATTCATGTGTGTTGGTTCACTTGGTTCAAGCTTCAGTTGAGAAAGGTTAGTGAGACTTTCAGTCCAGGATGAACGTGGTGCTCTGGGTTCTTCTTCAGCTGTATGCATGTAAATATCCAGTTCTTTTGGGGTTCCTGTCTGATCCCGACACTTCTGAGACTGCTGGTTCCCCAAACTCTCCATCTGTAAGTGCATCAGTTCTTTGGGCTCGGCTGCTGGCGTCCAGTTGCTGGTTTTATTAATAATAATAATAATATTTGTGGTGCTTTCTGTTGGTTCTCCTGGATTTCTGTAGGTGTTCTGTGTGGTTCTCCGGGTTCTGTACGGTTTCATTTCTTCACATTCTGTGTGTCGTCTAGCTGGAGGTTCTGTAACTGTGTGCTGACTTGGTGCTCTGGGTTCTGCTGGTTCTGGTTCTGGTGAAGAGGAAACACAAGGATTTAACTGTTGCACTGTGGGGACTCACAGAAACCTAAAATCTAAACCACAAGACTCTGATCGGCTCTACAGTTAAAGTTGGGTTAAGTTTAGGCAACTGAAACAACCTGGTTAAGGTTGGGGAAGGTCATGGTTAAACCAGTGTTGACATTTTGGGATGTAAACCGCAGTCTGTGGTGCTGGAGGTTCAAACCATCTGTGGTGACCTATTCATGAGTTTTTCTTATTATCATACACGGTTAAAGTTCAGTAAAGTTTAGGCAACTAAAAAGACTCGGTTGAGGTTGGGAAAGGTCGTGATTAAAGGAAACCAACGTTGACATTCTGTGCTGACCTCTTCATGAGTATTTTTGTCTTTTTTAGATATCTGACAGTAATGGATGATACTTTCTTTATTGACCTTGAAAATAGTTTTACTCAAAGTTCACTTACTAGTTTTCCCCCAAAGGTTGGTGGTTCAGTGGTCATATGGTTTATGATATGGTTTACCCTGATGGTCATAGGTGAAAACTGGTTTTATGACTCTTGATGATTACCAAGGTGTGTCAGAAGACCACAGACATGTTTTTCCCCACTCTTTATTTCCAAACCATACAGATCTTTAGGGGTGTGCGTCTCCGATACGTATCCAGATACATGGGCTACAATACGATACATTTTTTGATTTGGTCTGATTTGATGCAATCTGATAAAGTTCTTTATTTATTGTTTAGTCAAAAGTCAAAGTCAAAGTCAAAGTCAGCTTTATTGTGAATTACTTCACATGCACCAGACATATAAAGGAATCGAGAGGACGTTTGTCACTCTCCCCCGATGAAACAGATAG